ACAGAACCGTTATATAGTGAGTGGGGTTTGAATGTTCCCACAGAAACGCCCTCCATTCGCTTAAAAGGGACACTGGTCGAACGCCTTACGCTCTCTCGAGAAGCACGACTACAGCAGCTTCTCGATCGAGAAACCTTGGGTGATAGAAAACCAACGCAATTTCTGCGCCATCTCAAAAGCCTCGACAACACTGTTCCTGACAATATTCTACGCACTAAGTGGCTCAGCAGACTTTCGATGACAACGCAATCTATACTTGCATCCTAAGCAGACATGAATCTCGATAAACTCGCATCTCTTTAAGACAAAATAAACGATATCGCATTACCAGCAGCAAATCAATTCGGTCCAAGAACCAATAACAATATCAGCAGTCGAATCACGCATTTTTCGTCTCGAAGCTTCAATTAATGAGCTAGCTTCCAGTTTTAAGAGACAAGTCATATCTCGTTCCCGTTCTCGTCATCGCTGTCGTTCGCGCACATCTTCTCCAGCACCGAACAACAACACGTGCTGGTATCATCAAAATTTCGGCTATAAAGAGAAACGTTGGCGGTCGCCCTGTGCATTTCAGGGAAACCTACCGTCGGACCATTAGTGGCGAATCAAACCGCCTCTTCGTAACAGATCGTGCCACCAAAATCCAATTTCTGGTGGATACTGGCGCTGATCTCTGCACGTTTCCCAAGTCTCTCGCACCTTGGTCGCCGGAACAAGTCAACTATAATCTTACATGATAGCAATTGGGTATACGATTAACACGTACGGTTGCATAACTATATCACTAAATTTTGGCCTCGGGCGAAGTTTTACATGGCGCTTCGTCGTGGCGGATATAACGAAACTTATTATTAGCGCAGATTTTTTTTGCACATTTCGGCATCTTACCTGACCTCAAGAACAACTGCCTTATCGACTCGAAAACTGGACTAAAAGTCGCATGTAAGTTATCCGCATCCAACATCATTTCGGAAATTAAAGTACTGCCCGTCGGCCCTATATGGACAGATACTCTAAAGGAGTTTCCTAATCTGACAAAGCCGGAAGGAATCTGTCAGCCAACAAAACATACGACGCAGCACCCTCTATCTTCTATACCGTGACCTCCTGTTTCCTGTAAGGCCCGAAGACTTGTTCCCGACAAACTCAAATTGCTAATTCAGATTTCGACAAAATGTTAGAATTAGGAATTGCTCAAGGTTCGAAGAGCTCCTTGTCATCTTCGCTCTACCTGGTTCAAAAGAAGTCTGGTGAATGGCGACCTTGTGGAGATTATCGACGACTTAACGCCCGTACATTGCCAGACCGATATCCTGTTCGTGTTCTCGAAGACTTTACTGCCAATCTAACAGGCAAAACAATATTTTTAACCATTGGTCTCGTGCGCGTTTTAATCAAATACCTGTCTCCAAAGAAGATGTCGACAAAACTACAATCACCGTTCGGTCTTTTCGAATTTCCGTTCATGACGTTCCGACTTCGGAATGCTGCGCAAAGAGTCCAAAGACTTATCGACGAAGTAACACGGGGATTAGATGACTTTGTATTCCCATACATAGACGACATCCTAATCGCTTCCAAGGATGTAACGGAACACCGCAGTCACCTACGCTTGCTTTTCCAACGGCTCACTAAGTATGGTGTCGTAATTAACACCGCTAAGTGCCGTTTTGGTCTGTTCGAAGTGGATTTTTGGGATACCGCATCTCAGCAACAGGAATTTTACCTCTTCCAGGTAAAGTAGACGCGATCGTTAACTTTCATCGTCCAACAACGATCCGAAAACTGCGTGAGTTCCTCAGCATGATAAATTTCTATCGTAAATATCTTAAAAACTCTGCCAAGCAACGATATTAGCATACCCAGATACAACGCTTCCTTGGGCAATATTTTCCGATGCCTCCGAGTATGCTATCGGCGCCGTTCTCCAACAAAGACGTGGACAACACTGGGAACCATTGGCTTTCTTCAGCCAGAAGCTTCAACCCGCTCTGAGAACACTGTCCATACGACCGGGAGCTTCACGCTATCTATGCAGCTTTACGAAAATTTTGCTATATTTTCGAAGCACGACATGTCACGATATTCACAGATCACAAATCATTTTTCATCAGCCAGTTTACAACCGATATCCAATACATAGCCCGCAAATGCAACATCGTCGCAGATGCTCTTTCCAGCATCGAAGAAATATCAACGGCAGTATTCTCAAAGGAACTTTCTCAAGCACAAGTTGAAGACGAGGAACTTCAGCAACGAAGGGAACAAGATTCACTCAATTTACGACCAGTCAACATTCCAGGCTGCAATAAACCAATTTGTGGCGACGTTTCTAGCGACCTTATTTGTCCTTACGTTTTCGCAGCGCTTAGAAAGAGAATATTCGACGCTCTCCATAGCATTAGTCATCCTGGAGCACGAGCCTCCGCCAATTTTTAACGCAACGATACGTTTGGCCCAGCAGTGGGTTTATTTCTAAAAGAAGTACAGTTGATATCCGGGAGCTCCTCAAACAAGACGTTTTGCGGTGACCACTATATCTCTGAACTGGATCATCTGAAACTAAAAAACCAAACAGATTTCGTTAAAGTAAAAAATGGCGGTTTCTCAAAAGACAAATCGATTTTTCACCGAAATTTCGGCCTTAAATTGATTATAAAAACAAAAAATATTTATCGGAGAAAAAAAATATTCGATTAATTACTAAAAAATATAATAACCCGCGCTGATGTTGTCTGCGTGCCATTCTTCCATCTCGGGTGCTCTCACGCGCTCTGCGATCTGAAATCGGGCATCTTCTTTTTGGGCATATGTATGCGCAATAGGCCCAAGTGAATTTCATATTGCCTTCATATAATACAATAGTGATGATATTCCTTCCGGCAGCTATGTATGCAGCGATTTCCACAGTTTTCGAACCGGCCAGAACAACTTTGGAAGAGATTTTTCTAATCAGTTGATTGTAGCTCTCGTTGTTGTTTTGGTTAAAACCACCTACACATCTTTCTAATAAATTCTTACTGCTAAGATCTGTAAAAATCGGACGTATAGCCTCAGCAACATCTTCTGATAATGGCTCATAATCATGTTCGAAAGTGAATAATTAATTGGTAGCTGCAGCCCTCTGCCAGCTGCACCATGAGTCTGGTCCATCCGGGTATTTGTCGTGCTGAGGTTTTTCGTCAGTTGAACAATAATGGTAATATGTGGCCCAGATAGCATTATAAATTTTTTTAATGGAATCACAATTTCTCCTTATTGCTAAGCCATAATAAACTGTAAACTTATCGATCATCTTTCCAGTAAGTTTGACTTTTCCATCGAGAGTGTTTTTTTTTCAACTGATTCAACAGTTTTGACACAATCTCGGAGTCGCGTGACCATTCGTTTCTGTTCGGGTCCAATACATTCTTTCTTTACAACTTCTTGATCACCACAAGGTACAGCCTTTAAAATTCCCGAGTACGTTTTGGAGTCACCGTCTCCGATGTAATTTAAGTACATGACTCCAAGTTTTTTCAATGAACTTTGGAACATTTCGACGACATTTCATGTTCTGCATGTCATTCATTATATTCTTCGATATCGAGATTCTTGTTCCAAGTTCCACACAGTTTGCAGTAGACACTTTTTACAACAATATCTATGACGTACAAGGAAGTATACCCTTACTTTTTCCATGTGCTATCACCAGATACAGTTAATTCTGTCGAATGTTCATCGCCTTGATGTTCGGAAGTCGAATTTTTTTCTTCTTTACAAGCCTGTTGAAAAAGTTTTTCGGTGACTATTTTTACACTGGAGTGAATATTATTTATAATTAAATCCCACTATTTAACCCTAAGCCGAGGACTCTCATGACAAATAAAAATCGTCGATTTATTTCATAAGAGTGCGCACAAAAGGACTAGAATTTATGTTACGATCTGCACACTTATCACACAGCAAAATAATTTTTAAACCAAGTCCCCGTTCACAAGCAGTTTGAAACTTGGCATTTCCCTCAGAGATCATACATTTTACATATTCAGAAATACTGTTACAAAATTTAAAATGCTATACTCAACAGACGGATCACGTGTAACTGAGATTTCCTGTTGGTTTTTAAATTTTTTGCCGAGGCAATCAAACTACTTTCATCCGTTTAGCTGTTTTTGGATTAAAATCATTTTTGCGTTTTTTTGTTCTCGACTTCAGAGAGTTTCTCATATGTTTGGAACACAAAAAAATATAAACGAACTTACAAGTTTACTGATCGGCTTAGCTGCATATACTGATAACCACTCTAAAATATTTTCCAGTTTAGGGTTCGAAAAAGGTATAAACAAAAAACAATCACACTGTTCATTTACACATCTAAATACACTAGAAGGGAGCATTTACAATAGGCAGGTGCATAAAAGGGACAGCGTTCAGGTATTCGCTGCCGCTCCGGCCTTGTACTCCCAACGCCTTTTCAAATTTGCGTGTAACTTCGAAAATATTCACCGGAATATTTTAGAGGGCAGGGCCAGGTCCATTTTTTTTTTTAATTTTGAACCCACAAGTGACCCTTTTTACTGTCGCGTTTAATAAATGATAAACGGTTAGAGCTGATTGAACAGAGTGGCTACACTTTGGAAGGCTGTTACTCAAAAGATATTTGTAATATGTCTTTTTAAGGATAAAAACTATCGAAAAATGCAAAAATTAAAAATTTCAAAAGTTTTCAAAATTTCGCACTAGGTATGCCCTTAATTTTCTATATAAGTAAAAATAAATAAAGAAATACACTTAGTTTACAAACCATTTACAGCAAGGATTGTTGAGTGCATATCCTACGAAATACTTAAAGTTATATCCGTTTATTAGAAACTCAACTATAATAATGTTATGATTAATGATATTTATAAATTTTGCAATTATGCCTTTGTGATATCAAGAAATTTATGTTGGTTATTTCATCTTTAACCTTATACATTTTTCATAATAAAATAAATATCTGTAACCATTTTTTTTAGGTATCGACTTTAAAATTAGAACAATTGAATTTGATGGGAAGAAAATTAAACTTCAAATATGGTAATGCGTATGGTATATCGAATCCTTAAGCTATAACTTTCTTTTCTTTTAGGGACACCGCAGGCCAAGAACGTTTTCGGACAATAACAACAGCGTATTATAGAGGTGCGATGGGTATAATGTTAGTATACGATATAACGCAGGAAAAATCTTTTGAAAATATAAAAAACTGGATTCGCAATATAGAAGAAAATGCGTCCGCCGATGTGGAAAAAATGCTTCTGGGTAATAAATGTGAACTGAATGATAAACGCCAGGTGTGTATTATGCTACATACTCTGTAATATTATATACATTTAAATTTTGTTATTATGTTATCTTATACTTTCGATACTTGTTTTTATTGCGGCTATCTAACCCTGTTTGAGGAAAACCGCAAATTAATTGTCATTCAAGCTACCTAACGGGAAGACTAGAATACAATAATAAGAAGGTGTGCTTTGCGATTTGTCGTCTATTATGCCCTCTCCTCTTTCCCAACCTTATATCCGCTTATGCAGATCGGTAAGCAATCTGGAAGCAGGTACTCCGGAGTTTCCGGCACCATGTTGCAGAACGGAAAATTTGCTGCTAGATTTATCCCTGGAAAGGTTTATAATTTTTTTTAAAGCTTTTTAACAGCTACTTCACGGTGTGGGGACCCACCACAAAAAAAGGGTGGCGGGTTGCTGTTTTGATGACTCCGACCATAAGGAAGGGGGTGTTATGTAGTCAGGTCATGAGGTGATGAAAATAACCGCTGGAGGTTGGGGGAGTTTCGAGATGTAGAAATTAAGCAATAGTGGGGATACCACCCTACGAAACCGCCAATTTAATAGTTCTTAAACTTATATTTTGACCGCGAAACAATACTATATAATTCATGGTCCATCTCTTCAGCCCTGGAGAAGGCGTAGATTATTCGGTAGTAGTATAATATAATTTACAAGTAAACTAAGAAGAGAAGTTTGCGCATGGATCTTGTCTAAAATGTTCTCCTGTTGTGGATGACTCCATGTTATTGTAAGTTCACTTCTATCAATCTACTATATATATACATTAGGGTGGAGCGAACATTTTTTTTTTGTTTAGCCTGAGGGTCAAATTTGTAGACTATAAAAAAAGCAAATTTTTGGGAAAAAATTTTTTTTTTAGCATCTAGAGGCGACACTCACTTTTAAAGTAAAGTTTCGAGTTATAATTTTTGATAAGTGTTCTAGAAGCTGTGGGGTGTCCTTTTTTTGGGCAATTAAAAGTTATCAACTTAAAAAAAATGTTTGTGGTCATTATTGGAGTTTTAAAAACAAGTCTTAAACAACAACATGCTTTACTTAAGCGTTAAAATAAATTTTGAGTCAAAAACCGTCAAATTCGGTAATTTTTATATAAATGTGAAAAGTTTAAACCAAACAGAGTTTTGTCCAAAAAAAAATTTTAAATCGAAATTTACTTTAAATGTGATTTAATTATAACTTTGAAAAAGTAAAGTAGTTTGTTATTAGGGTGCTTTACTTTTTCGAATTCTTAACTTTTCCGTTATATGGATGTGATTATACATGTATTTAAACGGTATATATTTATTTATTTATTTAAACGCCAATCGGCAATGTGTAATATCTGGAAAATATTTAAATAATTGTAAGTTAATATGTAATTCAGACTTGATTTAGATGTAATTCAGACGAGCAGGTGTCTCTTGGTGTTTTCGGTAAAAGCAGCGTATGTTCCTCCATAGAAATCAATTTCACCTTGAAGTGAATGTACTAAATTAGCCAGTCTATTCTGAGGACCATGGATAACATAATTTTTTGGGATTTCGATGTTTTTAGTAATCTATTTCGCCTCAGGGTAAGACCAGCAGGGCGAGTTCAAAACTGTTTAGGATCTCATGAGTATCAGTGATGTTATTGACTACTTTGTAGAAAAAGCAGAGGTCAGCGACCTGTCGACGAGAAGACAGTTTGTTTATACAGTAGCACTGGTAGACCTCAACAGTAGAGCAGATGTGACTTGGTGAAGATAGTTTATAGGCCAGTGACTTACAGAATTTACGCTGCACCTTTTCAACTTTATCGATTGTCGTGTTAGTGTAGGGAGACCAGATTACCGAACCATATTCCAAAATTGGTAGTACAAGTGACTTGAATAGTCTAATGAGTGTCCAAGGTAATATCTTTACGGTAAATACTATATGTTGAATCAATGACTTCACCATCACATATGGATGAGTGAAGCCAGGATTCCGAAATACATACAACGTCGTACTGGTTAGCCGCTAATGCGGTTTGAAATGTTGAGAGTTTTGTACGCAGACCTCTGACGTTCTGGTAGCACAGGTGGACGTAAGATACTTTCTTCTTGCTCGTTGAGCGGACGAAAATTTCTTTTAACGATTCTTGGGACACCATGGATATATTTAATTGTGTTACTGTCATCACCACTCTTCACGATTAATTCAAACTCTTGACTCAAATTTTTCAGATGAAGTGGTTGAGAGGGAGTTAGATCAGTCTTGAAAATAAAACCTGAGTTTTCGTCTGTTGGTCTGTATTTGATAATGGAAAGTGCATCGGCTGCTGAGCGGGTGGTAATGTGAAGAGGGCGTGTACGTCCAGGTGTAGGACGACCCAGTCTACGTAACTTGAGTTCTGTGGCCTCATCCTTGAGACTGGGAGGCAAAGCTGTGACTAACTTTGTTCTGTCATCCTCTAAACGGTCCTTTCCAGCATCTTTATCAGACTCAGGAATATTTAGGGCAATCACGTTGGTTTCACGGAGTTTTCGTTCCGATAGTTCAGTGAAAAACTGTTCCTGGCTGGTAGGCAGCCTCATATCTACGTTTAGCTTGTCTTCAACTGGTGTAAGTCTGTCATCCAGGGCAGAATATTGATTTGATAGCGAGACATGATATATGTACATATATATTTTTTTATGTGTATTCAAGTATTAGATACTTGTATTTACTTTTCTTCTTGTTTTAATATTTCATATATTTGTTATAAATAGTACATTTGTTATCATATATTTGTAACGTTAAAGTAATCAGTAACCTTATTCTGATGGCGCCTTTTATCCGAATACGACTTTGCGATGTTCGATCGTACCTCGGATGATGTGAAATATATTTTTTTAGAGAACTTCACATCGTACTTATTTCGTTTATTAAATGCGTATTCGCAGCATATATTGATAAATCAATAACTAAATGCATCAGATAGATTAAATTTTACATCCGGGATGGCACAAGGGGGTTTCAAAGTTGTCAAAACTAAGGAACTATTTGATCAATTTCAACAAAATTTGGTACATAAAATTATTTTAACAACCCCCTCTCAATGAGAAAATAAACGAAATCGTACTACAACCAAGCCTACTTCCTATCTAGCACAACTTTAAATTTCATTTGTTTATTTAAACTTATGGTATACAAATCAAGCACCAAAGAATATATTAGGTAAAGATTTTTCACAAATATTGCTTTTGAGGTATACCATCTCAAGTCTAAAAATTGTCAAAATCGGACCATAACTGTTCAAGCCCCCAGTTATGGAATATGAGGACCTTAGTGCCTGGTGCTAACTGTTTACCGAAAATAACAGTCAATCTGTGAGACATATTGTAATTCGAAGAGAGTATCTTTCTGATAATAGTAGGGAAGTATGTAAAAAATAGGCTAAATCGGGTTAATACTTTCCTTAGCCCCCATATACCTTATCGAAATATTTTCGAACTTCTGGTTTACTTCATACCGCATATATCGGCTAATATGTGAGCTATTTCAATAAAATTATAATGCTTCATCTCTGTGTCTAAAATGAGTATTATCGGTTTTATACTATTCTTAGCACACATATCGATCAACTAGTTTTTGTTAAAATGGCAGATAAGTAATTTTTAATAATTTATTTTGGAATAAAACCATTCACACATATATTTATATAAATATGTAAGTATAAAAGAGGACTAGGTCCACGCGTTGCTGGGGCTAATTACATTAATTATAAATTATTGAATACAGTCAAATTGTATTTATAAATAAAAACAAAAACTTTATTTCCGAATTTGAAATCACTTCAAAATGATGAATACCAATTTTTTTTGGTTTTGTTATTAAGTACAAATAAACAAAATATAATATGTTGATTTTTTTAGATTATTAATTTTATATTCAATGTTGGTAACGAATGAGTAATTTTCAAAGTTTTTAGTTGATAACATTTAAAATAATGAAAGAGGGTAGATCAGTCTTAAGGAGTATTCTAGTCTAGAGACATGAATTGTGCAAAAGCACTCATGGTGTGCAACCGGCTTGTTGGGAAATTCTGGGGGTGCTCCCCAAGGACTATCAGATGGATGTACACCATGATTGTAAGACCGATTATCACGTATGGAGAGGTATCTTGGGTTTCTAAAGCATCGCAGACTTCGGTAGGACTTCGACTATCGAGGCTGCAACGACTTGCCTGCATCTGCGCGTCGGACGCGATGCGTACGTGTCCGACTGCAGCACTGGAAGTAATGCTGGAGCTAACACCGTTACATATAGTGATCGAGCAGACGGCCAAACAGACCTTGATTCAAATGTCAGCAGAAGGGTTTGGCAAAGGGAAGGTAATCTCGTCCCAGCAGATGAAGGCCCTAAGTGACGCAATGCCACTGGCCCTTCTCCCAAGGGACAGCATTACGAAAATAGTAAGCTTCACTAAGAAGTTCAAAGCTGCCCTTGGCAGCAAGGCGGAATGTAATGATTCATCACTGGACCTGCTGCTAAGGGAAAGCACTATTAAGTGGGGTACACCGACGGGTCGAAAACGGCGGAGGCGATTGGTGCAAGGGTCGCTGGGCCAAGCACCAAACTCTCCATAACCATGGAAAGTTTTCCGAGCATCTTCCAAGCCGAGGTCTATGCTATAAGTCGGTGTGTAGAGATAAACCTCCAACGCAACTATTGCAATAGAATTATTACTATACTCAGCGATAGTCAGGCGGCACTGAACGAACTTGCTGTCAAGTTGGCCCGCTCTGCAGCCTCTACAAAAATGGTAGGATCGCAACCATTCATAACGGTTGGTCCACATACCATTAAAGAGCTGCTCCATAGGGAGGAAAGAGCAGGCAGCATACCTCAAAATTAATCTATCTATCTATACCCATCATTTCAACCCTCCTAGTCATCTGAAATGAAATAAAATATTATCAATGTGCAATGATGTCGCAATTGTGTGAACTAGCGATAAGTAAAAAAACATTTTTTGACAAAATGGCGGCTGTTTGAAAAAAAACCAATTTCTTTTACCATTTTTTTATATTCTCGTATATTTTAAAATAGTAAAAATTGACGTTTGGGGATGAGGCTAGTTAATATTCTAGAGAGGTCTATAACGAAGATCCTCTGAAAATTTTAAGTAAATCGGTCCAGTAAAACTCGAGAAATCGTTGGTATCGTATTGAAAAAGTCTGGTCTGAGAAAAATGCATTTGAAGTTTCGCGTAAAGTCTTTTGTTCAATTAGACCCAGCCGAACCAGTTTGGAGGCCGGGTCAGTAAAATGTCTGTATCTCCGAAAATTTTCAAAAATCCTCTCGTAGACATATTCTTAAATAGTTAAACTTTGAAAATATGAAAAAAAACTTTTTTTGTTGAAATTTTACCTTAGAGGGGGTATCCCTTAATTTTTGACAATAATATACATACATTGTACAAGAGGACCATGTCTCCATTAAATTTTCCAGTCAAAATGGTTGCTACAATAATATTTCCTGTACTCTTTTTGATTACCAAACGTGTACCATTTCATAATTGAGATAAATTGAAATTACTCTAAATAATAATAGTTAAACAATTATCAATCAAAGATTATGTGTGGATAATTTACGTTTTCATTTTCATCAACAGTAGCGAATGATTTAAATACATCTGATAGTCTGGACCAGACAACTGTTGTAACTGGAAACTAATTTCATCAACTTAAACACCTTTGGCCGCTTATGTAGCCCGAATACTAAGCTAGTTATGATCCAAACAATTACTTTTTACTTTCTGGAATAAGTTTTTTTTCGTGAAGTACTGCGTATTTGGTTATATTCTACCATTCCCAATATCTACAAATTTTATTATATCTGAGGATGGATAAGTTTGTAATTGTTTGCATATATTTGTGTTTCAACGCTTCACCATAAGAACGATTACTTAAACATTCGTTAATCTCATTGCGTTAAGATAACTGAAGAATGACTGGGCTGTCGGCAATCCCAGACAGTGGTAAAACAGCACCACCGAAAACTTCATCGTTGTCGTTTAAAGCTTATATTGTTCTGTGCAATGCTTTGAGAATATTATTTAGCAAAGTAGTCGCTTTGCAATATCAATGCGAGTTTCTATTGTGATATTAAAAATGTCTTACCGGTTCCAAATGGTGTGTCCTAAAAACAAACCGCCATGTTCAGTACCAATAATCAGTATAATCCATATACAAAATTACTGTACTCTTGCAGTAGCTATGTGTTGTTATTGTTATTTTTTATTTTTTGAAGTAATAAAATATTTAAATGATTCTTACATGAACCCATGCTCATAATTTGAAATATAATTTTTGTATTTACCAAATGTATGGACTCTTATCATAAAGAGATAAAAAGTATCCTTTGTCCATCCCCTGGTTCTAATCTATCAATTTTCAGCCAAATCGGTTAACCCGTTCTTGAGTTATAAATATTGTAACTAAGAAGACTCACTTATAGTGCTGTTTTTCTCTACGTAAAAACTATCCTCGGTATTTCAAGCAATATTGAAAAAAAAAGAATTAGCGAAATCGGTTCAGCTGATCTCGAGATTTGCGCCTAGCAACACATTCAGTGACTTATTTTTATATTATAGGTACTACGAGTGTATTCGGTTATGAGATGCTATTGTATATCATACATTAAATTTTTTTATTGTACATATACTATTTAATGCAGTGAAAATATTCTTTACGAATAAAGACGAAAATGGTCGGTATAAGAATTCAAGGGATTCTACTTGAGGTTTGATATCGAAAATGATTTGTACAAATATTTGTCTATGGAAAAAATTACGTATTTTCCATTTGGCATTTTACTAAAAATATAAAATATATACATATATATGTAAGCATGTTTTCATATATATATATATATGAATTGTTTTTAAATTTGGGGCTTAAACTATCCTACCATTTATGTTGGATCCACCTAGACACAATGTGCTAAATTTTACTGAAATCGGTTTAGTAGTTTAGGAGATAACCCCGGACAAAGCGTGACAAGTAATTTTTTTTATACACATATAGATAAGCCTAATTTTAGAGAAACAATTTAGGTTTATATAAACAAAGACTTACACCAGTGGCCAAATAAAGCTTATCACGTCAGATTTTGCAATTATTTTTAAATTATTGCGGATTTACTAATCCGATTTTGCTGAAAGTTTTTAAATTTATAAAATGGAAAATAATACTACATATATTTATGTAGAAGCATTTTTTTCATAAAAGATACCAAATTTTATATTTTTTCATTATTAGAACACAGAGAGGATAATTGTAGCTGTTGAATGCATGCAAAATTATGTATTGCGTTTTCAAATATAGAGTAAATTGATAATTATTTAAAACAAAGTTTTAATAATTATTGAAAACTTCGTTTGAAATTTCCTTCTCCCACTTTTTTTCAAGAGCACTTTTTTAATAGCTCAGTGTTTAGAGTGCGGTTTATGTTGAGCCAGTCTCTTTTTCATGGTGTGCCATAAATGCTCAATCGGATTCAAATCGGGTGAATTTGTTGCCACGCCATATGTAGTATTCCGAGATCTTTTTCTGTACCTGGAAAGAAAAAGTGATGACATATAGCTAATGATCGAATATTTATTTGGTCAAAATACAGTATATTTCCCCAAAAAATCGGATTATTAAAGTATTTCGATTTAAAAAAGAAACAGTATTTTTTACAGTATTCGTTTTATTAAATGAAAATCATCAAAAAAGGTAATTAATAAAGACTAATCTTTGTCTCCTGCGTTTTCGATTTCAACATCTTCATCTTCTTTTGTGGTTGATGATTTGTATTTATCATTACAGAAATTTGACGAAGCAATTTCGGCTTTATCTTGAGGTAATTGTAAAAATCAACACATGTTCAAATAACATTTAACTATATGTTAAAAACTACTGTACGAGTGAAAAAATCTAGTAGTGGAAAAATGGCTGTTTCGATTGTGAATCGTCGGTGGAAATATTCACTTACCTCGAAAACGTCGTTTGCGAATATAAAGAAATGTCTACCAACGTTGAATTTACTTTATTCTTGACAGCAATTTCAGCATCGGTGCTGCAGTAAACAAAACATGGACGTCAGACAAAACTCGATTGGATATGGAAACATTCAAGGCTCATAATCGCCTTAATCGCCTTCAATGTTTCCATATCCAATCGAGTTTTGTCTGACGTCCATGTTTTGTTTACTGCAGCACCGATGCTGAATTGCTGGCAAGGATAAAGTAAATTCAACGTTGGTAGACATTTCTTTATATTCGCAATCGACGTTTTCGAGGTAAGTGAATATTTCCACCGACGATTCACAATCGAAACAGCCATCTTTCCACTACTAGATTTTTTCACTCGTACAGTAGTTTTTAACATATTGGAGTTGCTAGTGCAAATCTATGGTTTTTTTTATAGGCATCGCACAGATGGTTTTCGCTCAAGTTGTTCATAACTATTTAGACATTTTGGTGTTTCTTTCAATGATGCCCAACCAAAGATTTTCAGCGATTTATATGGTGCTGTCCGTAGATGGAAATAGGCGAGAGCAGAGTCTGAAAATTAAATTAAAGAGCTGCACAAAAGCAAGCAAAAAAATGAATGAAAAATTCATTACGATTAGCAGCCATCTCCTCGGAAATGTATCCCTAATCAATAAGTCTTTGCTTCTCTGCTACTGTAGCTGGTGATAAAAAATCATCTTCTTTCCGCATTTTCAGCGTTTTTTCAAAGGCATTCAAAGATTATGCCACGTCAATTGCCGTAACATCATCATCTTTAATCTGTAGTAGATATTCAGCGAATAACTCGGCCTGATAAAAGAAAAGAACAATATTTAGTTAAGTTGTCAGAATTAAATAACGAATAGGTCTTTTTAACTGTACTTGGACGAACATCAACCAAAATATTGATGATTCGTTTCTAAAAATTTCTTCAGCTGTTTTTCTCCTTTTCGTGTGCGAGGAAATACGACTTGAGAGTTCTAAACTACGTTTGATAGCTGGTATAAGAGCCCAAAATTTGTGTGCATATCGCAGCAGTTTGTTACATTCCACTTTGGTATCTTGAAAAATTCCTTCAGTGCCGTCAGGCGTACAGTATTACGGTAGAAATGGGAATATATTGTAACGGATTTCTTGATAAAACGTTTACTTATAGCTCCCTCTTGAGTTCGATCACTGGATTGTTAAATAAAAGTTTCAAGTTAATGCTATACATTTATCTTTATTTCTTATTCAAACAACTTAACCCTTATACACGTTATTCGAGTTTACAAGTTATTGCTTATAGCTTTTTACTAAGCAGCACTCTAATCAAAACTGTCCTGCTGCACGATCTGGCAACCCTTATATAGTAGATTTTACGAAAACATCGCCACTCGAACATTCTGACAAATACGAATTTCGCTGCTTGCTTGATTCTAGCAATTTATCATCGATTTTATTATGTTCTGGCATTCGTGTTTGCCACAATATTTTAACAACAGCACACTACGTCAAACAGTATCTCGTGACATTCCATTTTAATGCGTTGTGTGTACTGTGAGCGACATAGCTGATCCTAATTAAATGCGGGAGCCATGTTTACAACACATGTATACATACCAGACAGCTGAAGTGATGCCCCGCAACAAAGAGTACACCCATGCTTACTTGCGTATTTTTATTACTTACGTAGATTATATTACATTGGAAAATGAGGTATGTATCGCGACTTAGGGTCTATTGTGCCCTCCCTAAGTCACATCGACTCACTTATCCCCATTGATGAATTCCAATGCGACAAGTAGCTAGAATTTATTTCTTGAGATTTTGATTACATTTTGAAACCTGTTAAGGTCGTAACCAGCCATTAGCAACCTGACATGGCAAATGCCTTGGATGATTTTTTTTACTGTGATTGAAAATACGGATATCGCAACTGAGATCACTCATTGTAAATAGCAGTTCGATTCTGAGAATTGCGATTGCGCGATAGTAGTTCACAATAAACTTGTGAAATTGCGAACAGTACAGCTTAATAGGGTTACATGTGATCGCAATAGCAGAAAATTTACAGCTTTCTTTTTTAAACATTTTGGATGTTGGGATTAAAATATACCTTCTGTATCGAAATTATTATCGAAGTTCACTTAGGGGTGAAGTAATTGGCCGAACAGAAGATTCGTTGCAGTGGTGGAAAACAAATAGTTATAAGTACCCGTACCTGTTACCAATTGCTCGTGAAAAGTTAGGATGCTTAGAATCATCAGTGCCTTCTGAAATGTTATTTTCTACGGACAGAATAATATTAAGCGAAAGGCCAAAATCTATTATTTTTAAATGCAAATGTTAAACACATGGGGATGTTCGTGTCTCCATCACTGCGGCAGTATAGCCAGGCATCATATTCAACGCAAAAATATTGCAGCATAGGTATCATCTGAGTATCTGCAGCAAACAATATTGGTGCATTTATTTGCTTGCTCGATCATCCCTCATGTCTCAATTGTATAGATATTTAAGAAATAATCAGAAGTTGCAACTGCTAATGGATTTTTTAATTAATTCTATTTTTAATTTTATTTATTGTTAAAACCAAATTTGAAAATTAGTTTTTTTTTTAGTGGCGATCACAGTGATTTTAAAATAGTAATCGCTGGAGTCACAGATATCGAAAAATCCCTATACGCTCATCGCTAGTATATGAAACGATCGGACAAAGAAGAACAAAGTCATTATATAAACCTACAAGTAACAAAAGAATCTGCTGTTTTCCAAGAATTTTACACAGCTGAAATCACCTAATCTAAATTTGCCTTTTTTGACATAGAGATGTAAGTAAAAGGAAACAGTATAACTTTTTTGTGAAAAGGTATTTGTAATGGAAAACACTAATGAAAATTTACGTGAATATTTTCGAAACAAACGTTTATTGCATTTTTTTTTTCTCCTCACCAATTCTGACGTTGTAATTAATGTAGGCTCGATCTTTTTTTGAATGTTCGATAATACATAATATATATATTGTGACAAACGCGGATGATAGAACAAAATCGAATCAACGATAAACTGCCAGAAGCAACTAGTTAGCGAATTCGTAGTTGCCAGAATGTTCTAGAAGCAATGTTTTGTTACAGATTTACTATATAAGGGCTACTGGATTGTGCAGCAAACACAGTTCTAGTTAGAGTGTTGTAGTGATTAGAGCAATTAAGCTATAAGCAAGAAGTTGTCAGCTCGAATAACGAGCAATAAGTGTTAAGTTGTTGGAATAAGAAATAAAGATAAGTGTGTAGCCATTAAATTGGGACTTTTATTTAACAATCCAGTGGTCGAACTCAAGAGTGAGTTACAGGTAGACGATTTATCGAGAAATCCGTTACAATTGGTGTCAGAAGTGGGATTGTCAAATAAATTCCCAAGGAGATAATTATTTGAAAATGGCCAAGTTTAACGATCTGAAGATTCCACAACTGAAAAAGGAGCTGGAGCAACGTGGTTTGGCGACAAATGGATTAAAAACTGAATTACAATCACGGTTGAGAGAGGCCATGGAGGCGGAAAACATTAATGTTGAGGAATATGTCTTTCACATGGAATTAGAAGAAGAGACAACAAAGATAGAAGAAAAGGAAGAGGCTCAATGCTCGTCAAAGATTGTGGACATAAACATGGTTTTTGCCGCAATATCGCAAATGTCAACGCAAATATCGACACAATTTAAAGAGCAAGAAACGCGATTGTCAACGCATTTGGAAGAGCTGTTCGCAGCGCAACATGCACGTTTTTCAGCACAGTTGTCAGCACCGAAAGAGCTCGACGTGCATATGTCAGCGCAGGTATCCTCACAGTTGGAAGAGGAGGAAGCATGTGAACCAGGATCTTCACAGTATGAAGAGCAAGAAGCTTGTATACCAGCAAGAACTGAACGAGCGTATGCCAGCGCAGGTGTCCTCACAGTCGGAAGAGGAGGAAGCGTGTGTACCAGTACAAGGGTCCTCACAGTCGAAAGAGCTGGAACTGCGTATGTCAGGGCAGGTGTTCCCACAGTTGGAAGAGGAGGAAGCGTGTGAACCAGTAAAAGGTTCCTCACAGTTAGAAGAGCAAGAAGCTTGGATACCAGCACAAGTGTCCTTACAGTTGGAAGAGCAGGAAGCGTGTATACCATCACAGGTGGAAGATCAGCATAAAATTGAACCTGAAACGGATGACTCTGTGCAAGAAGATCCAGAATTGGAAGGTGCATTACATAAGAAGGAGTTGAACCAATGTACAACAATTGGAGAAATAACTACAGGAAGGCCAGTCACAAAATCATATTGGGCAGAGCGGAGCAGTTTAAAGTTAGTGTATGGCTACTTGCATCGAGTATGGAAAAGCGAAAATAAGCAACCCTTCCGAGTACTTATGGTTGTTCCAAGGGTTGGAATTCCTGATGTTCTTAACGTGCAGTACAATTGTCCAAGAGGAGGGCACTTGAGAGACATGAAATCTTTGGAGCATTTGAAGCAAAGGTTTTATTGGACTGGTTGTCAATCAGCTATAGATAGGATTGCGAAATATGCTGAGAACATTGTAGCTTAAGGATCAAGGTCCAGGAGTCATGGGCAGATGAAACAGCACAATTCGCGTGCGCCAGTTGAGAAAATAGGCGTGTATGAAGATGGTCCATTCCCCACCAATAAATTAGGAAATAGTCATGTTTTGGTAGTCAAGGACCATTTCAATGAATGGCCACAAGTATACACAATTCCTAACCAAGAGACTGAACCAGTGACGGAGGCATTCATCAACAAGTGGGTAACGAGATTCGGTGTTCCAATGGAGTTACGTTCTGATCAAGAATGGAATCTCGAGTCAGCTTTAAGTCAAGGGATGTACCAAAAACTGAGTATCCGGAAAACGGATGGAATCAACTCCAAGAAGAGAAGGACGGCTAACGATGTCAGCACCAGCCTAGAAGACGAGATGGGGGAGGGCACCACGACAGTCGGGTCTACGTAACCGGAACTGACCCGGATTTGTTCCGGCCAAGGACTGTCAACTCGGCAGAATTCTGCCGCTACAACAACAACAACAATAACGAAATTGGGGACATAAAAGCTTTGTGTTTTGTATCGCAAATATGTCTAATCGGGACGATCAGACTTAGGTGGAGGGCAGTGTGACGAACGCGGATGATAGAACAAAATCGAATCAACGATAAACTGCCAGAAGCAACTAGTTAGCGAATTCGTAGTTGCCAGAATGTTCTAGAAGCAATGTTTTGTTACAGATTTACTATATAAGGGCTACCGGATTGTGCAGCAAACACAGTTCTAGTTAGAGTGTTGTAGTGATTAGAGCAATTAAGCTATAAGCAAGAAGTTGTCAGCTCGAATAACGAGCAATAAGTGTTAAGTTGTTGGAATAAGAAATAAAGATAAGTGTGTAGCCATTAAATTGGGACTTTTATTTAACAATCCAGTGATCGAACTCAAGAGTGAGTTACAGGTAGACGATTTATCGAGAAATCCGTTACAATATTGTACTTCTTAAAGTTGTAAATTTTATAACATAACACCGCAACACACTAGCAGATTTGGACATTTTAGTAGTAGAAGTTTAGTACAACCCGTAACAAGTGTGAAATTTTTGCGTATGGATTGGTTACTTGTAGATTTATACAATGAATAAAGAGTAAATGCGTTCAATACTCATCAATACAATGTGCAAATATGTACGCATAGAATAATATTGTAGAAATATATTGAAAATTGTAAATGAGGAAAAAATTAAGATACTCAAAAATATTCAATTTAAATTTTTAATAACATATAGCGGTATTAAATGTAATAATATAGGAGTATACATTCAATATTAAGATGATTTCATATAAATCCTTTGCGGTTAGGACTTAGTTTGAATATAAATTTATTTAAAACAATAATTGTAATTAACTCAAGGATGTTCTATAATAAATATAAAAAAAGATTAAAAAATTCCTGTTATAAATTTGGCCTTGAAAATATTAGTAGCGGGTATTCACTACATTCTGGGGGATTAGGGTATTCCCGACTTAAGTATTTCTTTGAGACTATTAAGCGGGTAGGTATTATGATATTATTATTATTACTTTATGTTAGACCACCATACCAACATTCAAATTAACTATGCAACATACTCTAAGTGTTGCGTAGCCGAACCGCACAAACATTTGAATGAGAATTTGCTGATAATGAGCGACAAAAGTGTATTAAATATAAACAAATATATATTGGGCTAGGTAAAAGTATTCCATAAGTAAAAACAACCACTAATACGTATTTGGTTTAGCGTTTTGGATACATAAGTAAGAAAAATACACAAGTAAGCATGAGGTGTACTCTTTGTTGCAGTGCACCGCTGCAGTTCTCTGGTCGCTATCTAAATAGTCATTCGGTGATAGTTTCATACGCTGAAAATGGTTTATTTCCCGGTCCCGAGCGTTGCCAATTAACTTTTCTGGTATAAGCAAAACTAATATTCGTATCTTTTGTGACACTAACAAACTAAAAATTTCAGAACTTTATATACATATATAATTTAAAAAATAAAATAAATATTCGTTTAAAATTATTTTAGTTGAAAAAATTAAACAGTAATATTTTACATAATCATAGTAATGGGTTGATATCTAAAAATAATCTTTTGTTTTGTATTACATTTTTACGAAAAATAAGATTTTCTAGCTGCTCTGCTCTCATTGAATGGAATTGAATGATGTTTAGAGAAGTATAAGATAATACGTCAACCGTTTGCAAGTTACTCTATACTCAAGGCGACTTATCTTAATTATGATCCCGCCATGATAGTTTTGTAAATCGAAAGATATGTTACACCCAGAACTGAAATTAAACATATCAAAATGATTTTGAGAAACGAATTCCTTAATATATTAATATGATCAAACTAATATTTATAATTGTATCAAAGCGCTGCTTTCTCATAAAGTGATAGTTAGTATTCAGATACTTTAAAATTACTAATATTAATCAACTTGAAAATCTGAGACGTACAGGAATGTTCAAAATCTACTTAACAAAATGAAATTAAATTCCAATTAACAATATTGTTTTCTATTCTTTCATTTCTAATGTAAACTCAGGGTTGTTATAACGTTGTCAAGCACACTGGTTTTCCACAAATTAAAAACATGTTATATAATCCAAAGCAAGTATATCCGTATCTATAATCCAGTATTCTTACACAATTAGGGTGTTATATATAAATTAGGCGAGTTGAAATCCGAGGGACTATCTCTCCGTGTGCAAGTGGTTGATATTGTGGAAATTTGGTGCAAAATATCGTAATAATGAGGCACCTGTTGGCTTAAGATGTTAAAAAAGTACACGCGGCTCTAAAAGGCTTAATGTACATAAAAAATGTACAACCAAATTTGATCGAGACAAATATAATATTTTACCTCCGGCAAATCGGATAATAACCTCGCCCATTCTCCATATAACGGCTAATGGTAGCGTGCCACCGCTCATCTTTAGGAACTAATCGACCAAATTCAGCACATGGCACTAACTTGATCATCTGATTCTTTCACTTTACAGTATAAAAATTAAGCACCAATGAAGATATCCGGATAAATTTTTGCACAAATAGTGCTTTTAAGATATGCCATCTCAGGCTTTACAATTGACAAAATCGAATCAAAACTTTGCAAACCTGAGATACCGAATATGTGGACCTCACTGCATCTAGCTGGTTTTTGACCGACAATATCGGAAAACTTTTGAGATATTTTATTGAATTTCAGAAATATTATTTTCTCAATAATAGTGTGCAGTTGTGCCAAAAGTGGTAAAATCTGGTTCCCATATACCAAACATAAGGATTTTCAATCATCTGGTTGACTATACCATAAATATCGGCCAATCTGGAAGGTATCTTATGAAACTCAGATACACCCTTTTCTGGTAATAACCTGAGAACGAAAATACATACTTGTAGATAAAATCGGGTCAATACTACCCTAGCCCCCATTAGGTATATGGATATTGCAATTGGTACTTCAAACTTACGGTTGATGAATAACAATGTGTAACTTGTCTTAGCAATCTTAAGAGAACGAATGATATACACCGAATCCCATATACTAATTAAAATGTTTGCTATTTTTCCATCAGACCTTAAACCATTTATATTGGTCAAAAGTGTAATTCTGATATTTATTGGATTTCTTAACCACGGTTAAGCATTCTGGTCTAGCACTCAATATGAATAAAATGAGTACAGACTTTGGTCTAATAAGAATATTCTAATATAATGACTTCCGATCATTTGGTTGGCTTTTTCCTCATATACCCAATTTCTTAAGTTTAGCTTCTTTGGTCGCATTTATATCACATATAATATAATATATCTCATATAAGTTAATTAAGTTGATTTTAATATAAATATTTCGTACACTAAGTCTACAACCTATAATATTCATAACGATGACAAATTTGATTGTACTCCATTCGGTTTTTTTGAATAATGAATGTTGATGTTCTACTAGATATAACTATGACCAATTTTGCATAATACATGTAAAATCTAAAGCAGCAATGCCCCACGTCAACGTAGGCAGTTTTGCGTATGTATTGGGCACGCAACGCTCAACTCCCTTTAGTTTGAGCAAAAAAAAAAAACGAATTCCTAATCATTGTTGAACACACTGAAGCGTCTGATTATCAGCTGTTGAACGTTCTGCTGTATACATTTGCAAGAAATGAAGCTCTCTTGCGAGTTTTACAATCAACTGAATATATTGCAATTGTCTTCAACTCTTACAAATTACAGCTACACATAGTACTTCCTTACTTTGTAATTACAATATAATTTGCCATGCACCAAAGGATATTTTACTAACAATTCTAAACTTATTTCAATAATTAAGGTTTCTCGAGAGCGAGGAGAGCAACTGGCTATAGAATATGGAATAAAATTCATGGAGACATCTGCTAAAGCCAGTATCAATGTGGAAGAAGCTTTCCTAACATTGGCCAGCGACATTAAAGCGAAAATGGAAAAACGTTTGGTAATAACATAGCCATATGCAAGTAAAAATGCCGAGTCAAAAATTGTATATATATTTTTTAGGAAGCAAATAATCCTCCAAAAGGTGGTCATCAACTAAAATTCGCAGAGACTAGGAAAACGGAAACCTGGCTTTCGAAATGTAATCTACTTTGACGAGGTCATATTCGCACACCATAATATATATATATATACATATATAATTCTCAGATGTTTAAACGTTAAGTGGTTTTATAATAAAAAAACGTTTATTAAGAAGTTTAAATAATTTATACCTAGCAATAAGTATACTGTCTTCGATACATTGATACCTTTTCATTATGTAATTGGAACGGTCAAGATGGCTTATGTCTTTAGATGGCAACAATGTATTGGCCTCATTAACATTCACCGTTCCTAAACGAGGAAGATTGCAACTGTTTTAAAATAATGCTTATTTATTAGTTTGTAGAAACCTATCTTAGCTTGTATATTGAACTGGAGGCATTGCTAGTTCATCGTTTTTTTTTTTCATTCACAATAGTAAAATTTTTTCAGAAAAAAATAGTTGACAATAACGACCAACTTTATTTTGACAGATGAAAATGTAAACAAACTAAAATTATAGACTTTTGTGGATGGTAGAAATAGTTGCTTCAGATGATGTTAATGAAGCTTTTATATTGTTTAACCCTTACGTCAAAGGAATCATCAGCGACACTGTCACGTACTTATTTCCAGAAAACTGTGTTAAAAATTATTTAAATTAGAAGTTTGTAAAACTTAAACACTTATAGTTTTTTTTACTTTTTCTTTTATTTTAGCATACTTAGTACCTCAGACAAAACGGATATTTCATCTGCTGCAAGTGATGCAGAAGTTTTCTTAGTAGTTTTCAAAGGACCTACGCCATGGCATCTTTCGTTGCTATTATTCCTTTAATCATATTACAGTGGAACCTCTGTAAGTCGAACCTCGATAAGTCGAAAACCTCTCCAACTCGAAGAAATATTTCATCCCCTTCCCTACAAGCCGTAAAACCTCCGTTACTCGAAATTTTAACCCTCTATTACTCGAAATACTCAGTGAGTCCCTAGAAGCTATTTCTGTATATTTTTACACTCCATAACTCGAATACCTACACTCAGACCTCTCTATCTCGAATATTGAATTAATTTTGACTATAGCTTGACTTGCAAGCTGGTGGAGGGAGCTGCAACTCGCTGCAACTACGACCACTACCTACAATCTTCCGTAAAACAGTTTTATAACGAACTGATAAGCAATGAGTGTGAAACGTAAACTTAAAACTCTGAGTCTTGCTGAAAAACTGCAAGTACTCGAAGCAGTAAAAATTTCCCAAAAAAAGACGGATGTTGCAAAGCAGTTTGATATACCTTTAAGTACACTTTCAACAATAATAAAAAATGAAAAAGATATATTGAAAAAAGTTGAGAGCGGCCAAAGTTTATCATGCAAAAGACAGCGTATATCTGAGTTTCCTGGTTTAGAAGAATGTTTGTTAACATGGTTTAAACAGTGTCGTGATGAAAATAAAAGTATCAGTGGACCATTGCTACAAGAAAAGGCAGAAATTTATTCAATCCTAGATAATGCTATAGATAATGAACAACCTACTTTAAAGCAAAAACAAATTACTGATTTCTTCAAATAAGTTTGTGAATAAATATGTTGATGAGCAGTTATGTAACGTGAATTTGCATGTATATTTATTTGACTTTCTCCTTTCTGTTCGTCCCCTCCCTAACTCGAAACCTATTACCGCCTAACTCGAAATCCTCTGTAACTCGAATTATTTTTCCACTCCCTTCGAGTTCGAGTTATAGAGGTTCCACTGTATAATTTTTTTTTTTTTTTTGCAATAATTTGCTATCTTTTATCATTACAGATGCATTATCGGTAAAAATACAATTCCCTTTATTAGTTATGTCCTACTACAACATAACATTTCTTATAGAATTCGCGACTTTTTCTGCTTTATGAGTGGTTACATACTCCAAGTTGTTTGTGGATTGAACTGCACCGCGTAAATTAAAATGGTTGTCACTGAAATGACATGCTATGGTTAAGTATCTCTCATTTGTCGCTGATGTCCAACCATCCGTCGTCAAGGCGACATGAGAAATGTCGTGCAGCATGTTCTCCGATTTTTTCTTTTTTATTTGTGAAATGATTTTTAAATATACATCACGTTTATGATTAAGACTAGGTAAGCCATATCTGGGATCTAAAATTTTCACGAAATAGGGAAAAACGTTTGTTTGATTGTTTTTTAAATTAATTATTTAATTTTTTCCGGGTATTTTTTTGAAGCGCGGCCGAAGGCCGGCAGTGTGGAAAGGAGTTCGACGATCTCCGATATGACTGTGACTGTTACATTTCTTCAGTATTTTTTTTTTCATAAAAACTCACAACAACAAGTTCTTTAAATATATTTGTAAATATATACATAAATTAATAAGCTAATATAGGAATTCAGTACTTTGCTACAGTCACAAGTCTCTAAATTTGAAATATTAAATAAGAGCCAATTTTTTGTGACTTAAGACGATTTTGCAATTCAGTACGTAACAGTCCTAAATTCTCTCAACGGAGATTAGAGATGTATATTAAACCTAAATAAAAATAAAATGACGATAATAAATACTAAATTTTCTATGACGCAGTCAAAAATCATAATTGCCAATAAAATTGAAATTGATTTTTTGTTAATTTCTACGTGTTTGAGTTGCTTCCAAAAAGACTGTCCTACAAAAACGGGAGTAACCAATTCTCTACCACACTTGTAAAGTTTCATGTCTTACACCACTACATAACCACTTCGAATTTTTTGGTGTTAAATGAAAAATTATGTTTTAAGAGTAGCAACATTCATCATGCAAAATTTTTGAATGCAAAAAAAAAGTGGTGCACACATAGACAATGAATCTGTCAAAAATTTGAGCCATTGAATTTGCCATTTGAAGGGTGTCAGGCATTGTATAACTCTAGGCTTATACAATGGCGTCAGGTAAGTTGTTAATTTTCATAAATGTTCAAAACAGGAAACCAACAAACGAAAATCATTGTGATATAAAGAGTGATACTTTTACAAAGAGTTTTTATGTACATACATATGGTATATAAAAAGTTTATACAGAGAATGTTAAGAACAATAAAACAGCGGATAAGCGGCCGCGATTCCACTTTTGCGATAGCTCAGGTCGTAAGTGTCAAGGAGTTAAACCATTCCGAATACAAACGCTTACGTTCGAATTCTGTAAATCTGTTAAATAAATCATAATTCTTATTTTATATTGATATTTGACATTTTACTTATCTCAATTCAATAGCATTTTTTACTTATTGAAATTATTAGAATATTTCAGGAAAATATGTTGATATGTTTCGTTTATTGAATATTCCCTTATTATGCGTATTTACATAAATGTGATAATCACACATGTATTCATAAGTACACGTACGCTGATGCTTGCTTCTTCTTGCCCCGCACAAAGACTTTTCCACTTTTTATTTTTTGCGAGAAGCAAGTTGACCGATCAAGGGAAAGATCAGGGTCGCACTGCTAAATAATTATTTCAGATATATTTTTATTAACCGAATTTATTTTAAAAACGCTTATAGGTATGAACTTATTTGTATTTATATTTTTATACTCTCGCAACTTGTTGCTACAGAGTTAGATATACGGTTATATATATATAAATGATCAGGATGAAGAGACGAGTTGAAATCCGGGTGACTGTCCGTCCGTCCGTCTATGAAAGCTGTAACTTGAGTAAAAATTGAGATATCTTCATGAAACTTGGTACACATGTTTCTTGGTACCGTAAAACGGTTGTTATTGCAGATGGGCGCAATCGGACAACTGCGACGCTCACAAAATCATTAATCCAAAACCATTAATCAAAAACAAATAAATTGCCATAACTAAGCTCCGCAATAAGATACAAGACTGTTATTTGGTACAAAGGATTACATTAGGGAGGGGCATCTGCAGTTAATTTTTTGTTTTTAAAGGTCCCGCCCCTAATAAGTTTAATGTGCATATCTCCTGAAGCTGAAGCTATAATAGCCAAATTCACTGGGAGCAAATGTTTTTAGCACCTCTATTGACGGTGTGAAAATGGGTGAAATCGGGTGACAAGCCCGCCCACTCCCCATATAACGGTACTGTTAAAAAATACTAAAAGCGCGATAAACCAAGCACTAAACACGCCAGAGACATTAAATTTTATCTTCCGGAATTGACCCGGATTTTATCCGGCCAAGGGCTGTTATTGCGGCGATGAAAAAAAAAGGGGGAAACCCATATCTTGGGATCTGCTTAACCGATTTCAACCAAATTCGGTGCATAACGTTCTTTTCATATTTCTATGTTATAGTGCGCCTATTTCACATATAACGCCATTTTCAATTCCATCTGATTCTTTCACTTACCACTATGCATATCAAGCAACAATGATTATATACTTTGCGTGAATAATACGTTTAAAGTATGCCACCTTGTGACCAAAAATTGTCTAAATCGAACCAAAACTGTTCAAGCTCCTAAGTACTAAATATGTGGAGCCCAGTGCCTATAGTTGACCTTCTAACGAAAATATCAGTCAATCCACAAAGAAATCTCAAACGAGTATACCATTTGACTTTGCGAGAGCATAAAATGTTCGGTTACATCCGAACTTAGCCCTTCCTTACTTGTTACGTATATATTTATTATATTACGAAAATAAGTCATTAAAGCATCAGTATTTTTCAATACAAATTAAGCAACATAATACTCGTAATATACTAAGGGTCCTCTTGAAACGCCTCTGTGACAAAATTTGTTTCAATCCACAATCTTGCTACAATGTCGTCTAAGTTGTCATTTTTGCCTTTTTGCAGTGGTTTGGTATTGAAAATTTACTTATGCTCTTTTGAACTACTTCGATTACAGATTGGGTTGCATTTTCATGCCATTGAATTTATATAAAATGGGCTAAATCGAAAATCAAATAAATTATGATATTAAGTGAACATGCATAAGCCCCATATGAAATGTGCTTAGAACTAATAGAAGTAATAAGGAATTTCATATAAATGGCAATTTTATATAAATTTTATAATATGATGTCATATATTATATAATAAGTAATATGAAGTAAATTGAAAATTATTTAAAGTCGCTAATAGACCATGTTGTCAGTACTCCTGTCTGAAGGGAATATCCGACAAATTCTTCAATTTTTGATTTTAAGCATCGTTGTGAGGAAGCAGCTTTTAGGCAACATGCAAATGCGAGGGAGAAAGTAGGATTTTTAGTGGAGTTCAATTGCATTTTGCTGATTTTACTAAAAATTCATTCCATTAATTTTTCTTCACTTCTCGAGAAAAAATTCCATATGAAAACTAATTGTGATTGACCAGGAGCACAGAAAAAACAACTTTGTTTTGTAGCAGACGCGCGTTCTTAAAAATGAATTTCTTGTTGGTGTTATTTGAACATTTGTAAAAATATATCGCAAGCATTTGCGCTTATTTTTGTGTATGAACGCGAAGGTACATACATATATGTAAGTATATATACATTGAATAAAATTGTTCTTGTTGTATTATTGAATAGAAGTCATATTGAAGAACAAGAAAATATGACTTACGTACAAACAGATCGTGACAAATTCATGTATTATATTTACAAGTATGTATGTATTTCTATTTTTGGCTGCTTTGTGTAAACGAAATGAACACTAGCTGGTACAAAAACGAAAAATTGCATTTTTACCTATGTACATATGTATGTATTATAAAATCTTCAAATTAAGAATCAAAGCCAAATAAATGTATGCTTCCAAATTTATTTATTTAATTAAAATAATAATACATAATTCTTAATGTAAAAGCTGAAGTGGAAAAATAGAAAACACTGAAATTAAAGAAACCAATGTATATAAAGAATTTGTTTTTTAAAATGTAAAGATTAAAAAAAAAATATATTTTGAATTGCACATGATTTACGAATTCGCCTAATCTTCAACCACAAATTCTCTCACGATTTTTTCTATTAACATAGATTTAATCAATAATTCACCTGTTTTATAACACTAGGCTCAAGTGCAATAAACTAGTAAAACTACACTACAACTGAAACTAATTATAACTAATTTCATTTATAACTATGTACATACAAAACTACTTTCTAAGTTCTGTACTTAACTTAATTTTTCACCCCTGAAAAGAAAAAATAAAGAAAAGCTGAAAATAGAAGAACATCTAAATATGGAAGAAAAATTTATACATATCTAATAAACTGGTGCTAAATACGCCTTATGCTTTATAACTTGCACAAAAAAACACATCTTGTACATATAGCCCTCAATCAATCGAATATTAGTTTAAATTAAGTGCAACATAATCTCTATTTTCTATTTATGCAATTTTGTTAAATTTACAAACCTTCAGGCGTTCAATGTTTTCTTGCTGCGTTTTTTTAGCCAGCCATTTCGCATTTTTGAACAACAACACTGTTACTAAGGACTTTAACAGTATTTGTCGGTGATCCAAGCATTCACTAGCTTCTAAAAACCATTCCGGAAAAACGTTTTTAGTCCTATCCACTAAGGCATTCTCGATGAGTACTCGAACTCCAAGTACATAAGCATATTTTCCGAAAAGCTCTATGTACCACTTCATCTGCCTCCGACAAATTTCAAAAACTCTATCACTCGAATTAGCTCATCAAGCTCATCGAACAAGTCGTTCATGCGTTCCACATGCATTTGTGTCGTTTTGACGCATTTCAATAATCCCTGCATGACTGCCATGTCGATGCCAGCTGCTACGGAATTGCTGAACGCCTGTGTAGCTCTGGAAACGCTCATTTTCTCGAAATTATTTGGATATATGTGGGAGGATGTCAACTTCGGGCATATTTTAAAATTATGACTCACAATCGATGGCATAGCTAGCTTCAAAGTTATAAGGAAGTTGAAAGTCGTACTTTAACAAATTATTCCTAACCATCTTAATCAAATGGCAATAATCATATAGGCAATGAACTTTTTTGCCATTGGTTATAAAATATGGTTTGAATTTTATAACATTTAAATTTTCATACAATCGGACATTCACCAGGCCTTGATCACAAATGATCGTTTTTACATTGAGTCCTATCATTTCTAAGAATTCAATGTTTTTTTTTCAAATTTCTTTCTAAATCTACTGCGGACAGCCCTCTTTTTGCCACATAATAGAAAATTACGTATTTCCAATTAACTGCTATACCTTTCACCATGAGGTGGTTGCCTTATGGGCAACATTTTATTTCCTTTTGCCGTTCCCCTTGTCAATGAAATCATCGATGACATCCTTACTTTTGTTATAAACAAAATCGTTTTTATTTGCAATTTCGTCGAATAATATTGTACAGATCCGTTCGTGCTCGGACATTGGCCTCCATCGCAGTAGAGATTTTTTATGTGGTAGCGCAAACTGAAGATCATCTCAAAAAGTTATATGCCTTCGTTGACATATAATTAATAATTGCGTTAACTTTTTCTGATCTTCAGAATATGTATTGATTGTATCGACAATCATCCTAACAAAATTTATTGCATCCTCAGTAGCATTTTTGGATGCAACAATTGCCCTTTTCTCTAAGTCTAATAGTTTTTCTTTTAGAATCCTATTCTCCTGCCTTAGCGGAATCATGCGTTCATTTTGCTTATGAGCTTTCTGCTGATAGTCCCTTGCAATCCGAGCGCAAGATTCGCGGTCACATTTCATATGGCTTAATCTTCACCTCGAGAATCGAATATAATTCGAATTCCTTAAAGGTTAAATCTTCAACCCCCTCTATCTGATCACTATATGAATAATTACGTTTATTAGGCTGAAGGACGAAGAAAAGCTGCTACAACTACCTACAGTTTCATAAAATAAATTATGCTCTGGGAAAGCTCCTTCCTTAAGTCTATTATTTGTGATGTAATTCACATCAAAGTGACGGCCACAAATAAATAACTTTTTACGGTCGGAGTATGATGCACTTATTTTTAAAGCTAAAACCCAGTTGTTGAAGGCAATCTCTTCATCAGGGAATGAAAAAATAATTTTTTTTTCATCCGATGGACATCCTTCAACACAGCAGGTTTTGTCTTCACTACTCTTCCTTATCGATAATTGTACCGGATCATCATAATTTCCGATTATGTTATTATATATGTACAATAATATATGTATAAATATAATTTATATTTAAAATAATTATTCTATTAATAACAATAAAATAATATGTTATGTTAAGTGATTTTGACATATCATGTGAATATACACAAAATGTCATTCGAAATAAATACCCCAACAGCAAACAAAACCACACACACATACATACATATATGCATATGCATTCACTAGCAATATAACCAAACATTTACATGCACATATCTGAATTTGGCACTTAGCAAGATTTAATGTTGGAACAGCTCCATGTTTTAATTTTTAGCCCCCAAAGCATAATTCTTAAAATGCATAGAACAAACAAAAGTGTTTGAGGGGGCTATTTTACTTCTTTCGAATCCTAAATTTCGGCACCACATTAGTGCAATTTGTTCATTCTTCGGCCAAATGAACAAATTGCGCTTTTTGTTGTCATTTTTACACTCGCGCGCACAACACTTACGAACTGGCGGCATTTTTAAACGTTTTAAATATTTATTTTAAAAAGACTTCAAATTTCAAGTCCGCACAATAGAAACTTTTCTTTACAACTAAAGTTTTGAAGTTTTGTTCCTCTCTTTTGCTATACCCTTTTCTCTATTATCGCATTTACCCAACTTGAATATCATCTCAGTTAACACCCATTCATGTCATTAGGTCAACAGGTGGAGGGATCTCCATCAATGGATGAGAATCTTATATCGTTTATCTGGTCTAGTTAGAATTTTTTGTTTTGATATCTCGTCAAATCTATTTCATGCTACTCGAAATTGACGACATGCCATTTATGCTAGTCCGTGGCCGACGTCTTATAATTGTGGTGTTGGAGGAAGCTTTCTGATTTTTGCCTATGGTTCAAGTCCCACTCACATCCCGAATAATTTATTCATCTTTTTTAATTTTATTTTTATTTATATTCTGTTTTTAAGATATATTTATAATACTTTACTACTATTTATATTCATTTATTAAAATTTACTTATATACACAGGTACATATGCACATTTGATTCCAACATTGAAATTCCATTCCATCTCCCTTTCTAATTTGATGCAATTTCACACCAAATCATAACTATGCCAAGTGTTGGGCATAGAGGTTATGCGTAAATCGGTTGTACATGAATATTATGCTGATGTTCTACGGCTTGAACGTGAACTATCGTTCTCGTATTCTCATGTTGAATATGTATATGTATATGTATATACTTTATTTATTGGGATTTTGTTGATGTTATATATAATTGAGTCCATATATCAGCATTATAATAATATATATTTATAAATAATTTCATCATAACTGGTCAATTTTCATGTTGAATATGTATATGTATATACTTTATTTATTGGGATTTTTATTAAAAAATGTTTCTTCTGGTTCATGTTAACACAAAATTTAAAGTGAGAATTTAACATTTTGTTTGGTTACCATAAAATAGGTAATTAATCATTTGTTTGGACAGTACAGTCTTAACGAGTAGCCAAGGTAACCACCGTAGATAGCATATCCATTTTAAAGACCATGTCGAATATTGTAGCCCTCAACTTTCAATATAAATGTTTACAAACTTGCATGCATTTATTTTTTAAATACAATGTAGTCAAATTCAATAGAAAATAATTTTTAATTCTCTTCTCTTAATTTTAGATATTTGGAAATTTCGATGGATACTTCTGAAGCTAAACTTTAATATCACCTTTTTAGTAAAATTTAAGTTACCTATTAGTATTAAGTTCTAAATAATTAAATTTAAAATATTATTCTTTTATTGTATGTACCTAATGTGCGAATATTAACAATTAGTAAATTAATGTAACTATTATTGTAAACTAGAAAAATTTAAAAATCAATATTAACTATCTATAAACCAATTATAACATTTTTAACATAAAATAAAAAAAATGTTAAAAAAAAATAATGGTATACTACAACCATACAAATGTTAGCCGAAAAAAGGTTGTAAAAAGGAAACTTTAGTTTGTAATGTATATATACTTACATTTATGTATAAATGCTAATATTTGCAATCTAATCTAATATAATTACTTAACATTAAAATTACTGTAAGAATGAAAATACAGTTACATACTGTATTTATACGTATATATAAATGCTAATAATTAAAAGCTAAACTTAAATAATTATTAAAAGTATGTTAAAATAAAAAAAAATAAAAAATAGAACCATAAAGTATAAACATGTAAATTAAAAAAAAAAAAAATTAAAGGAGAATTTCATTTGTTTTATAAGGAAAAAGGTAACCGATACGTAAGGCAGTGGTAGCCAATGAATAACCAAACAAATAACCCATAGAGGCTGACGAGGTAACCGATCAACCAGTTTTCTGTAATTTATAGAAAACCATAGCAATAACCAAACAAACTATTTTCAAGAAGAGATGGCTAACCAAACAAATAACCAATGAACAGGACGCTGTTAGCCAAAGAGTAACAGATAGTTTTCCCAAATAGTGGAAAAAGTAGATCATTAACAATATGTAGTATTTGCGCAAAATAAATGAGAGAGAGTGAGTAAGATAATCACACTGACATGTAGTGGTTTTTTCCCGAGGCTAGAACAAAAGTAACCTACCGGATAACTAATGCATCAATTACTGTTGGCCTATCGGTGGACTGTATCGTGAATAGTAACTTGTCACATATTGAGACTTTACTTCAAAATGTCTCAAATAGTAACTAGAGACTGCTTACTGAATTGCGCTACAAGTGCGTTTTATTTGTCAACGATTTAGCTATTAGCTTATGACGGTTAAATAAAACGCCTAATATGATGACAAGAATAACTGTTTCCAACTTTATTTCCAAGTAAATCTATCCAGCGTGAGGCTAAGCACATTTAAGTGATTGTACGCATAACAAGCTAAAACTATAACATTTCTAACTTTTAAAGTTATTAAACTCGAAAGTTGTGGAAAAATTAAATAAAAACAAGAATTGTGGATTTATAAGTTTTCCAAGACTACAACTATTAAAAAGATAAATAGATGTTTTGGTTGTGGCAACAAAAATTTGTATTTTTTCTAAATTAATTTGACTAAAAAAATAAGAAAAACAATATTTTTAGTAAAAGATGTAATATGTAGTTCATAAGAAGTTTTGGTTGGTCAAAACGGGGTAAGGCTTGAAATCCCCGATTTCAAAATCACCAAAAGTGAGTCTATTTGTATTGGGGGTCTTCAGTCGCGCTTTAAAAAAAATAACCCATCACCGGGGTTTTCTCAGTTATTTCGCTTAGAACTCCTTATTTATATTAGGGATTTTATGTTTGGTGTATTTTATATATATATATATATATTTGTTTTCTCTTGCAACATACTTCTACAGAGCTTAATAGTTTTGTTCACCTAACCATTGCTTGTATTACCTAAAACTGTTAGAGATAGATATGAAGATATATATAAATGATAACAATGTCGAGAGATAACAAATGTTCGAGTTTAATTCCGAGTGACTGTCTGCCTGTCCGTCCGTCCGTGAAAGTTGGAACTTGAGTAAAAACTTAGTCGTCTTCATGAGACTTGGTACCATAAATAGTTTGGTATTGTAAATGGGCGTAATCGACACCACAGCTATTAATCAAAAACTTAGAACATAGCCGCAAATTAGGATATAAAGCTGTAATTTAGTACAACGAATCTCATTAATGATTTGAAAATGTTTAAAAAATATACTCTAATAGGTTTAATGTATATATCTCCAAAACCATGCAAGCTATATTACCCAAATTTACACAGGAAAAATCTTTTCGACACCTCTTGCGACAGTGTTAAAATAGGTAAAATCGGATAATAACGCTTACTCTTTGTATAACGGTTTTGTTAAAAACCACTAAATGAGCGATAAATCAATAGTTATTTGCGTCAGAGGCATGAAATTTTGCGGGATATGATAGAAAAAGTCTTTATAGAAGCCGGTATTAAAATGAATAAAATGAGCGTTTCACTGCCAATATTTAGGTAAAAACCCATATCTCGGGACCTGGGGGTTACACTGTAAGGCGTTGCGCAAGTAAAAATGTTCGCTATTGCGAAAACTGTATGAGGATAAGCGCATTGTAAACTGCTTGTTTTCGCATGCGTTTTTCCGCTTTGCAATGACAGCATTCTGTATTGAGTAAACGAGTATCAAACTTGTGCCTTTAACGAATTTTCGATTCGTCATCAAACTGGCAAACGCAACAGACAAACAATGTAAATTCGTAACGCTTACTTGTAGTTTAAATTTTATTATTTAAATAGTTTCTTATATTAGGGAATGTTGAAAACCTACCCAAAATTCAAACACAAAACCAATCCATAAAATAAAAAACAAAATTTAAATTTGCAATACTACGCAATTTGAATAATATACGTCCGTTTATTTTTTATACTTTATTGTTGATTTTGTTTTAATTTTCTTCCGTTTTGGCCAGTAATGTCAATTATATTGAAAATGTGGCAACGTTAAAGCCGTTAAACACTGTTTACATTGCGTATTGCTCTTTGCAACGCCTTACAGAGTAACCCCCGTGTTCGATGAATTTCTATCAAATTGGTATGTAATTCTATTTTGACTTTTCTATGTTACAGTGAAAAAATGAGCGTAATCGGAATACAACCACGCTTACTTTTCATATAACACAATTTTAAAATCCATTTGATTCTTTCATTTTCAGGTATAAAAATTAAGCACCAATGTATGTTTCGGGAGAAAACATTGCACAAATGTATGTATGCAATCTCAAGTCTAAAAATCGTCAAAATCGGACCATAAATGTCAAGACCCCAATTTCCAAATATGTGGACCCTAGTGACTAGGACTAAAATTTTACCGAAAATATCGGTCAATATGTGAGATATACAATTGAAATTTGGAGAGAATCCTTTCCGGATAATAGTATATCTGTATGTAAATGAGATAAATCAGGATCATCAAGATTTCGAACTTCAGGTTGACTTTATACCGCATATAGCGGCTAATATGTGAGTTATCTTAAACAAATTAAGAGAGCGTGTTCTTGTAATAACATTGCATCTTAGTGTCGGAAATGGATAAAATCGGGTGAAAACTTACCCTAGCCCCATATAACTAGTATCAGGATTTTCAAACATCCGGTTGCTTTTACTCCTTATACATTAATGATGGTATGTCAGTTACCTTAATGAAACTTCGATGATTCCACCAGATCAAAAACTCCACCAAACTGTTAATTTAGGTGAATGTAATTAATGGTTGTTCATGAATAATTTGTGGATTTTCTTCTTTCTTTATTTACTACACCATTCAGATGAAAGTCAGCCTCATCAGAAAAGATGATTGGAGAACCATTATTTTGATAATAAAATTGAAAAAGTTTTAAACGTTGTTCGTGCGTATATCTTTGCATGATGAAATTGTAAACATACTGAATACATTGAAAAAAATTAGAGAACACGACACATTCAAATGTCCGAAGCGACAATTAGAAACATATTTTGAGCAAAAAAATAATTATAGTATATGATTCATTGTAAAGTTAATCTAAATTAATATTATTGGTAAAGAAAATAATAAAACTCAATTCATAACTGAAAATTCTTAATCCTTTTTGAGATGAAATAAAATGTTGGGATTCGCATCTTATACAAAAAGTGCCAATTGCCTGTGCCTAAACGAACTGAAAATATCCGGTTAAGTCAAAGACGTGCGTTCGCGAGTGTGGTTTTATTACAATAAAATTCTTTATTTTACGTATATTATAATTTAGCCTAAGCCTTAACCCAATGGCTTAAACTAGTGGTAAGTATGTATTAGAAAAGGGGTTAGTATAAGTATATTTCAACAGTTTCGTTAATTCATTGTAAAAGATTATTATAATAGATAATGTGTTCTGTAATAAGTATAATAATGGTAAGTATTTTTATAGCATAAATCATTTATAATTAATTTCAATATTATTCAATTAATCTTAATTTTTTTCATTTTATTTAGAACATATATTTTATTTTAGTTTCGAAAAGTTACTTGACGCAACACCAGCCACCTTGACAGGATCATGGTCCTTCAACATTGATGGGTAGCAGGGCGAGCTTGTGAATAGGACGCTTACTTGTGCCTGCCTTGGTTGCCACGTCTGCCACTCGTACCTTGCCGTCTTGACCTTCTACGGTTCCGACGACTCGTCCTAGTACCCACTGCTGCGGTGGTATGTTGTCTTCGTGAACGAGGACGAGATCGTCGGGCTGAGGGTTCCGCTTCGGATACAACCATTTGTTGCGCTCCTGAAGATTCGTAACGTAAGTTTTGGATCATTGTCGCCAAAACTGTTGCTTGAGACAGCAAACAAGTTGTCAGCTCTCGCAGCAACGAATTGGGTCCATTGCCACTTGTGCTGGTGGTAGTGATCGAAGGGAGCACCCTATGATTAGGTGTGCTGGAGTTAGCGATTCGCCTTCGTTGGGGTCCTGGCTCAACGGTGCGAGGGGTCGCGAATGGAGAATGGCCTCCACTTCGGACAGCAGTATTCCCAGCTCTTCGACTGCGTATTTTTAATGTAGTATACATTGGTACTCAAAAATCTACGCCACATATAATAAAGGGTCATAGCGCTCGAAGTCTTTTGACTGGCAAATTTCCCATTATTTGGGTTTGCAACTTCGGCTTGTAATGAAAACTGTGTGTACAGTTTCTTATGGTTCTACTGCATGCTTCTCTGGCATTAATCAGCCATATGCGTTCTCGAAGAAGCGCAACCAACGCTTTTGCCCCAGCGTGGTGATTTCGAAAGTGCAGGAACCGTAAATAAGAGTCACCGAAATGCAAATATTTATTCAGTAATAAGGGGAATTTGGCATCGTATGCGAGAGGTGCATTTAATAGGCGACTTCCTACTCCGATTAATTTAAATGAAAGCGACATATCTGAGTACTCATGCAAAAACGGATTAAGTTTTTGCAAGTTTGAGAGCCTTAAGTCAGTTTTTGGATTTCATTTGCAAATTCCAAATGTTGGACCAACAATTTTCAAAAAAACTCAAGTGTTGCTCGTCTGATGTCAGATTCCTTCCCACAGTAGGCATTTTTAGTCGTCTAATCCACCGTAATAAATATGCGACCACACGAAGCAACTTTTGAGAGAAGAGAATTTTGCGATCAGGTCCATTATTGTGTTATCTTTCACAATTGCAGCTAGTGTAAATGTATTTTTCTTCTTCTCTAATCCTTCGTTTTCTGGGGAGAGTTGG